TTAGGGCATCTAAAATGTATGGATTTATTGTCAGAAATTGCAAAGAGCTCAATATATTGTATGTTAAAACTCTGTATTTTTCATATGTGAGGACTATATTAGAATATGGAGCCCGTGTTATGAGAATCATAAATATAGTATTGAAAAAATTCAAAATAAATTTTTGAGATATTTACACTACAAGGAAACAGGGCGATACGAAATGCATATACCAAAATTAGAAATCATGAAAGCTCATAATATACAAACGCTTGAAGGCAGGAGGAAATTTTCTACAATTATATTTCTTTATAAAATATTAAATAACATGATAAATGCTCCTTATTTGTTGAACCAAATTAAATTTTATGCTCCGACATATAGAACACGAAATCCTTTGAGCTTATAATATACTGATAATACTCGACCTAATTACTACAACAACTGGCCTGTTATTGTAATGTGTAAATTATACAACCAAATGCGCCTACAATTTGATATGTGGAATTTAAGTTCTGTAAGTAGGCTGAAATTAATACTTAATGATATATTTGTACAAATGTAGATTTTAATGTTAAGTTACTCTCTCGATGACTCTTTACTTTATATTTTTGCTTCCACTTAGGTTAGTCTTCTACCCTACTCTGTAACTGGATGTAAATCTGTAGAGTTTGTAATGAATAAATAAATAAATAAATAAATAAAAAAAAATCCTACGGCCCCCCCTACGAAGTTACGTGCCCCTAAAGGTCGCCACTGAAAATCGGTTTTTTGTTGATAACTTTAAAAATACTTCGTGTAATTTTTTTTTCTTTTAATATGTTGGATACTAGATAAGACCCCTTAAAATGGGCCCTTTCAAACGCACTTGACCAATCTAGTTTGCCAGGGACGGACTAGCTTTAACACAATAATGTCACTGAGGAAATATTAGTAGAAAGGATTAATTTTCATTGTCGCGAAATAAGGGCTAATATTGAAGCATTGTCGAGGGTCGAACATTTTTTCATCGAAATAGGTATCGAATGCATAAGATTAGAAGGAGCTCATGTTGAGTCGACATACAAAATTATTTAATAAAAAAACATTAATAAACAAAAACAGATTTTTCTCGAAACCAGCTCATTTTTTCGACATCGAATAAGAGTACCTTTTTTCTAGTTCAAGGTTGAAACTATCTAAAAATATTATTGCTATGCCTTTATCATACAGGGTGTAAAAAAACGAGCATAATTGTGTTAAAGCTAGTCCGTCCCTGGCAAACTAGATTGGCCAAGTGTGTTTGAATGTGTCCATTTTAAGGGGTGTTATCTAGTACCCATCATAGTAAAAGAAAAAAAAATTACACGAAGTATTTTGAAAGTTATCAACAAAAAACCGATTTTCAGAGGCGTCCTTTAGGGGCACGTAACTTCGTAGGGGGGGCCGTAAGAATTTTTTTTTATGGGAAGTTGTCATGTTATTTTTTTAACACGCTTATATTAGCTTCACTTGTATGTATGTATGTTTGTTTGTATGTATGTATGTATGTTTGTATGTATGTATGTTTGTAAGTAACATTGAAAATGTTTATCGCACGGGCACATAGGAATGCGTGCGAACTTTTGGACCCTTGGGAAGTGTATGAACAAGAACCTGGAACAAGCCAAGTGAGCTGGAACAGGTCTGGATAAATCTGGATAAAGCCTGGAAAAGTCTGGAAAATGTCTGGAAACGTCTGGAAAGAGCCTGGAAATTTCTGGAAAGGGTCGGAAAAATTCTGCCAAAGGTCCCAAAAGACCTGGGGATCATTTTCCAGAATCCGGATCAGGCTGTACAAGTCTGGATAAGGTCTGGATAAATCTGGATAGAGTCTGTAAAACTCTGGATAAGTCTGGATATTGTCTGGAAATCTCTGGAAACGTCTGGAAAAGACTTGGAAATTTCTGGAAAGGGTCGGAAAAATTCTGGAAAAGGTCCCAATAGACCTGGGGATCATTTTCTAGAATCAGGATCGGTCTGAAAAAGTCTGGATAGAGTCTGGAAAACTCTGGAAAGCTCTGGATAAGTCTGGATAATATCTGGAAAAGTCTGGAAACGTCTGGAGAAGGCCTGGAAACTTCTTGAAAGGGTCGGAAACATTCTGGAAAAGGTCCCAAAAGACCTGGGGATCATTTTCTAGAATTCGGAGCAGTCTGGATAAGGGCTGGATAAATCTGGATGAAGTCTGTAAAACTCTGGATAAGTCTGGATATTGTCGGGAAATCTCTTGAAACGTCTGGAAAAGGCCTGGAAACTTCTTGAAAGGGTCGGAGAAATTCTGGAAAAGGTCCCAAAAGACTTGGGGATAAAATCTGGAAAACTCTGGAAAGCTCTGAATAAGTCTGGATAATGTCTGCAAAAGTCTGGAGATCTCTGGAACGAATTCAGGAATGACACACTCAGTGTGAGTGTGATACCGGTGCGGTTCGACGCACTAGCCATTCATAAATGATTAATGGTGCGCGTACTCTGTGCTGTTCAGAAAATACTTCGGGCACACTCCAGGTGTCGCACCGGTCACACCATAATTTTTTGATTGTGTCTTTATGTCAACGATGTTAACCATTCCTCCCATAATCTCGATAATCCCACAAAATATAAACAAAACACATATAAGAATTAAAGTTTTTTTTTCAAAATAAAAAAATTAACAACAAAATAACACATCGAACTAAAAAGTGAAAAATAAATATAATGGGTGTTTTTTTTAGAGGTTTGTTTTTCTACCTAGTAACACTGTTCCTAGTGACAGTAAATTTGACAGGTGACAGCTCATTTCCGTTCATTATATCTTGCCATTTCATTATGAAAAGACTGACGCCAGAGCAACGCTTGCAAATTGTACAAATTTACTTCGAAAATCGTGATTCATTTCGCGAAACTTCCGCTATGTACGTTACGTCCATTTTACGGTCGACATAATCGTCCATCCCTGCAAGTTATTCGGACAACCATGAATCGTTTTTGCACTACGCATACTCTGATTGATAATCCAGAAAAACTCCTTGCTTGGTGTGCTTGTTGGGTTAGTGGAATCATTGGCCCATATTTCTTTAAAAATGATGCCAGCCAGAAGCCGACAGTCAATGGAGAGCGGTATCGATTCTTGATTACTGACTTTCTTGTTCCCCAGTTGAATGGCGTTAGTGTGGAAGAGTTCTGATTCCAACAAGATGGCGCAATATGCCACACAGCGCGTGACAATCAACTTATTTCAGGAAACATTCGATGACCGTATAATTTCGCGCAATGAACTTGTGAATTGGCCTCCACGGTGGTGTGATCTCACACCTATGGATTCAATTCTGTAGAGATATGTGAAGTCGCTAGTCTACGGTAATAAACCAACAACGTTGAATCGGCTGGAAGCCAACATTTGCCGTGTTATTGCCGATTAACGTTCCCAGATATTCGAAAAAGTGGTCCAAAATTGGACTCCCAGACTGAGCTCTGTTCGAGCCAGTCGCGGCGCTCATATGCCCCAAATCATTTTTAAGCACTAATGGCATGAAATTAACTTTCTAATAAAGTCAATATCATGGCCGTTTACATGATTTTTATGAGTTTTATTCCAGTTCAAAGTTCTATACCTCTAAAAAAAACACCCTATAGTTTAAAAAAACTAAAAAACACGCTTTTATAGTAAATTGAACTAAAAAGTGAAAAATAATTTTTAATATAAACAGAAAATATTAATGAACAAAAAATATTAGAATTATTGTGAAAAAAGCGTGGGGTGCTCAATGTACGAGAAATGTGGAACAAAGCACCCCACGCTTTTTTCACAATAATTCTAATATTTTTTGTTCATTAATATTTTCTGTTTATATTAAAAATTATTTTTCACTTTTTAGTTTAATTTACTATAAAAGCGTGTTTTTTAGTTTTTTTAAACTATATTTATTGTATTCTATCTGAATCCGAGAGATTGCCCACATATTCTGGGACACCCTGTATATTAAATTATTATTCAGGTATTTAGGTAATATCTTTGGTAATATGTCCGATTAGGAAGGTATTTAAGTTGTGAAACAAAAATATTTTTTAATAATACATAATATACATTTTTTTTAATGTGTGGTATTATCAAATGCATTTGTTTTATGAGCCTGGTCCAATCATTCCCCAATTTTGATTTCAGAGCTAACCTTACTGGAGGCGCTAATGAACTGACATATTTTGTATGACAGCGTCAATTTTATAGTAGGTACCATATTTCAAATACGACAAGGGTGAGGTATTCAAGACGTAATCCTACGTCATTTTTGGCATTGTAGGTAGGTAATGGCCGTTTCCACCAACTATTTTAGGGAAGCCCTAACGATAAGTATTCCCTAAAATGACATTTTTACATGGGGAAATGTCAGTTTAAGGAATACTTATCGTTAAGGCTTCTCTAAAATAGTTGGTGGAAGTGGAAACGGCCACAAGTCTTTTTTCAAGTCATAGAATCAATTATTTTTACGTCATAAAATGACGTCTTCTCGGCTGTGTCATAATCACGTGATCCTATCGTTATAAGTCGTTTTAAAGGTGAAAACAAAGTGTAATCTCAAAAAAAAGTCGCCAATTTGACGTCAGCTAGTTGCTTGGGAAGTAGATGCCTTCTCTCTCCTCCGTTTTGATCGCTGTAATAAATATGTCGAATCAAACTAATGACGTTTTAGGTGTAAAATAGATGATTTTTGACACAACATAACATGTTTCAACGCAACAAGGAAAATGGACGAGAGAGAATGCACTTTATGTTCCCTTCACAATAACGGGGCCTCCAGCAAATGCGTTGACAGGTCAAGCAAACTCTTTGCTACCAGCAGTGACAAATCAAACATTTCTAACCCCATCCTGGAACTTATGATAGATGTATCATATCCCCCCATTCCCTCTTCAGGAGTACCGTTCAATAAAATGTTAACAATTTTATATTTCAATTGAAACACTGCGCAAACTCGACCTAATTTCCAAAATGTTTTGGTTTTAATAATGATTCTAGTGCTTACCTTATCACTTTCCTCGTTCCTCTCCGGTTCCTGTTTCCTTCTCGGCATCACTCTAGTTTTCGGTCGCTCTTTCTTTATCGGTACCTCTACCTTTTTCGGTAACTGTTTCTTTTTCCGTACTTTCAGGACCGGCTCCCTTTCATAATCTATAAATACAGCGGTTCCAACATAATATTTTTCGCCTTTGCCCTCCACAAAGAGATCACCATTCGCTGTTGTTTTAACCTTAATGTTATTACGGTCCTTCTCTTGTTGTTTCCAGAAGCAGGACATGCATTTCGCTTCTGGGACATCAACAAAATCTACAAATCTGGATGTCTTTTTCTCGAAAATTTTGGAATAATAAAAAGACGTCTTATCCTGTTTTTTTTGTATTCTGCTCTGGCCTTTAGATCCACCATCACGTTGCCATGTGGAATTATATATTTTCTTGCTGACCTAAAATGCGGAAAAAAGTGAATAAGCAGAATTATTGACTTTGTATATTCCGATTGTGTATTCACTACTATATTCAAGTTAACGTTCAAATTTAATATAGATTTACTTAAGTAAGTAAGCTTATGGGAACTTTGGTGGGACCTTTTTTAGAGAAAACCCACATTTTTTTTTTAACGTAGGTGGTAACCAAAAAAAGAAAATGTATTTGGATATGGTGGTGGGTGAGGGTATTTACTGACTTTCCCTTTGTACTATTTTCGTGATAATAGCGGACTGTTTCTTTCGAAGTAGATGCTATTGTGGTGGTCTCCACTCTCCAATATTTTGGTCGAAAAAGTTTATTCGTTATTACAATGTCATATTCCTGAGCATGTAGTTAGTGGGCAAAGTCCGTTATCGAGTTCATTATTCTGACGCCTTCTTTGCCGATCACACCTTTCCAGAGATCTGACTCTATACTGACCCGGGCGTAAAATCACCTAAAAAACAAGTTTATCAGATCTAGGTACAGCTGATATGGTTTCACTGAGCTGAGCATAAAATTTCTCTATTTGGTGATCGTCCGTTGTGAGGGTCGGAGCGAAAGCACTGATTAGCATAGCTTGTTGGTTGTTGCTGAGGTTTAGCAGCAGTGTCATTCGCATATTTCGGATGAAAGCTTAGCAAGATGGTCCATAAATTCATTATTTATGGCGAAACCCACTCCGTGGATGCAAGGTCGATGTTAAATCTCTTTAATTCTCGTGCCACCATTACTGTTTTTCGCTGTGGTCTTGCATTTGTGCTAGTATTCAACAGTGTGCGACTATTCCACTTCGCAAGATTGAGTTTATTTTTGTTTGTTTTGTTTCGACCGCATAGGGCGCACCCGCTGGACGCGGTTATTCAGTCAGGCAGTAGAGTTGGCTGGCTATGTTTAGGGCACCTTTCATAACCGCTTACAAATTTGGAATAATTATTGAGAGGATGAGAGGAAAATGATATAAATAGGTAGGTAGTTATGAATATAACAAACACAAATAGAAATAACCAGAATTTAAAAAGTGATTGAAACTGCCACAAACTTGACCAATATTCATGATAAACTAAAGAGAGTTTATAGGTACAGGGTATTTGATTATATTTTGCACCATACCTACAGCCTTTACTATTTAAGATAGAAAAAAATTGTAAATACAGACTTGACAGTTTTTTTCTATATTTTCTGATAACATTATCAGAAAAAACAAAATCGCATCGGAAAATGGAGAAACGTAGACAACTTCGACTTTTTTAAATGGAACACCCTGTATATTTTGCGATAAAATGAAAGACCTTTTCTTGATTAAATATATATAATGTTGATCACATTTGCGTGAGCCATTTTTGACATACCTCAGCTTAAACTATAACTAAATTGCAAAGAAATTTTATAAAGATAAAGATCCTTATGGAACTTCTCTGCAAATTCTTTATAATTTAACCTGAGATATGTCAAAAATTGTTCACGCAAATGTTATCAATATATATATATTTGGAATCAGAAAGAATAGATCTTCCATTTTATCGCATAATATACAGGGTGTTCCATTAAAAAAGTTGAAGTTGCTTACGTTTCTCCATTTTCCGATGCGATTATGTTTTTTCTGATAACGCTATCAGAAAATATAGAAAAAAACTGTCAAGTTTTGTATTTAAAATTTTTTTCTATCTTAAATAGTAAAGGCTGTAGGTATGGTGCAAAATATAATCAAATACCCTGTACAGTGAGGGCGTTCATAGAAAAATTTCATTCAAGACTCAATTTAGTTTACTTTAAATTTAAAAGTTTGTGAACTTTTAACGCTCTAGGAGAAAAAAAATGTAAAATTCGGTCACTGTTTAAGGATTTGTTTTGACTTCCGGTCAAAGTTGACGTTGACAGGATAAAAAAATATAAAGGTCGTTTATATTTTTCAAAAAAGGAAAGAAGATATAGGAAACAATCAATGAATAAAAACAGGGAAAACACAGCATCTATGCAACAATTGAAAAAAATAGAAAGGAAAAATGACTAAGTATAATTCTTCAAGTACGTATCTAACTTATATACTTCCTGAGATAGTTATCTCCTGCTGAGGTTGTTGGGACCGTGCATTGTTCAATTTAAATGTGGTTATCAGGCACATAGAAGAAAACTGAGAAAATATAGAAGAAGGGCCGGCTGTTAGACTTGGAACTGTCTATAATTTTGGGTAATGTTTTTTTTTTCTGCTTACAAATTTAAATTCGATAATCCAGTTTGAAAATAGCAGATAGATAAATAAAATACATTTACAAGGCATTAAGTTTGCTTTGCATAGTAGTAATATCGATACCATTTTTTTACCTTGACCTTTCCGATAATGCTGCTTAACTCGACATTTTGGCAAAATTTAGTCACAAATAGCTCACTGCAATTAGCTCTGCTACCCAATATAGTATCTGAGCCTCTAAAGTAAAAGTGAGCGTGGAACATTTTCTCCTTCCCTTCTTCAAACATATAAGCGACATATGCAATTTGTTCAGGCCCATCTCCATTAACATTGGGTAAAGTAACACTATCCCCCTGGTTGATCAATAAGTCACCTAATAATTATCATACCCATACATTTAAAGTCTTGATTTTTATATAGATACTTACCCACTTGAGCATTTTCGAAGAATTTATTCAGCTTTGATCCTTTTCGGCTGACCCATTCCACTGTACGGATAGCAGCATATTTCCGTTTCTTTCCCTTCTCTTTAGTGATCCCAGTACTTTCAAAAATAAAAGAAATTTAGTAACACTGACAATACAATATTTTCGGTGCAAATGCGCCCCATCTTTGTCGATATACTTTTCCAGATAGCACTTGATGGCCTGAGACTGCAGAGGAAGGAGCATTTTTGAAAAAGTTACTGTTAATTTATGTTATCTATATTGGGTTTTCAAATTGAACATCTACTTTCTTCTTAAACACTGACAATCTCAATTCACTAAACTGACAATACAATAGCAATAGTGAACCCAATCTAAACGAGATATGCCAGCCGAAATAGGCGGTTCGTAAACGGAAAAACATAATATGTCTCTGAAAAACGCCAAAATAAAAATAAAAAAAAACTAAAACATAGACAATGACAATACAATAAATGAAGGATCCCGCAGTATTTAAATGGAATTACCCGTGACATTTGGATGAAATTTAATAATGTTATTGGGGATGCCCTAAGCAACATTTTTACCATGGGCACAACCTTGTATATATGACAGGTCAGGCGGTGTTAACTATCAAATATGTATTAGAATCTAATATTCAAAAACAGATATGGCAGATTTTGATGAACGAGATACCAATTTTTACGAAGGTCAAGGTTAATCGAAAAATATCAACCATTTTGACACCTGTCAAAACCCTGCCAAACGGCACACTCATATTTTGCAGTTTTCAATATTTTATGATGTGTCATTTGAAATTTTTAGCTTCTAACTAAATTCTGAGTCCAAAAATTGAAAAAACAACAGAACCTTCAAAATCTGTCACATGTTTTAGTAAAAAAAGACTCCAATCTGATTCCTTTTTGGTTCCAACAATTGTTCAATGAGGACTTTCTCTCCATTTTATCCAAAATACGCCTGTCTGGGCCGACTCGAATAAATTAAGTGCACATTGGCACGTTAATGTTAGTAACATACCTTGTGCTGGGAATTGAACCATCGACCACATCCTCGACGATTTTTCGAGAACCAACCTGTAAAATCGAAAGGCAATTATTAATTTTTTTCATTTAATTGGACATACATACAGGGAGTCAACTGAAAGTGAATACAGTCTATAACTTTTTTGCCCCAACCTTGTTCCATTTAAAAATTCCCAAAGACGATTGGAACTATTTTTTCCTTGAAACAAAATGAACTATTTCAACTTATATTTATGGCACTCTAGATTGAACATTGAAAAAACTTGAACAATTTTCAGTTGAATGTACCAGGAGTTTCATTCAACGAAAATTATGACCATATTGGAAAAAAATATACACCTCGAACAACATATGGAGTAGAAAGAATTGCTTTTAATAATAGCCATTCATGTCCAGATTTTCGAATTGTATCGTATCGTGGATGAAATGGCCAAAAAACGGGGAATAATTGTTCTAAGGTTACCCCCTCAACATTGCAAACTGAATCCCGTCAAGTTAATTTGGCTACAAGTCAAGGGATATGTTGTCAGAAGAAATTCAAGAAGTAGATGCTGATCAGTGGCGGAAATGTATTATTAGGCGTGTTCTTGGCATAGAAGACAGGATTTGAGAGCTGGACTATTCAATTGAGGCAACGGTTTAACCTTTGATTATTAATGTGAATCATGACAATTCTCCATTTAGAGAATAATTTAGAAAAAAATAAGTAAGGAAGAATTATATAATAATTATTCTAATAGGATGTTCCAGCTTTAATTTTTTTATTAGTCCTTACCTAAGTTTTGTATTATAAGTTTTGGTTTAAATTTTTTGTAAATGTACCCTACCTAGTAAGTATATAATGTAAGACAGTGGGTAGTAGATAATAGATATTTTTTTATTATTTTAAGATATGGCCACTAGAAGACAGAAATGGTGTGAAGTGACAAGCCATTCAGAATGTACAAGCGTACAAGCAAAAAAAAAAGTGGGTATAAGCTGGCCGCTAAAACTTTAAACACCCCCAAACCATGTTCAGAAGAAGATTTGGCCACGGGGTTTAGGTGCTCTTAACCAGAGGCTTGGATGAAAACGAGCCACTTTTTCTAAAGATATTGAAAAATAAATTATTGTTGATCCAATCATCGACATGGAATTATGTTTTTTCGGTCTTACCAGCACATATTTGCGTGAGTTGGTCACGAAGTAGCTGAAAGAAATGGCATTAGGCTCAATTTTGCTTTCCTGCCCGCTGTTCCCATCATGTCCAGCCTATGAACGTAGGATTTTTTGACCCTTGCAAACTTATCACGGACATGTAGATATATTGTTGAAAACTTGGAACTATTTATAAATATTGTTTTAGATATTGTATATTATGCTTATTACGTATATCATTAGTCTGGAAGCATTGCCTGAAGTTTCTATCCGTTTTCACTGGCACATACAGATGTTAGGTCATCTAGGTGCCTTTTTTCAACAAATTTGTCTATGAGTATTATTGTATTCTACTTTTTCATTTATTGGTACCTACCTAGTTTTTTTTTTGTCAGTTTGACTGCCTATTTAAAAAATGCCATATCCATAAATGCTATAAACAAAGTTAAACTTCTTTAGGTAGAAAACGTGGAAAAACAGGAACGTTGAATTCAAGGGTGTTTATCCATTCCAAAAATCGACAAGACGATTTTCTGAATTTTTGATGCTCTCCCGCAAACATTTTCAAGGCGAATTTTGAACAGTTTACCGATGGTTGCAAAACTAGTCAATTGACTTTTCTCATTGAGTAAAAATGTCCTAGAAATGAATTAGAGCAAGTCTAATTTGCAAAAATAGGGCATGTAGATTGCTTAAATTTCCTCTTTTACTGTAGTTTTTTTATCAAATAAAAATTTGTTCCTATAAAACTAGATGGATTATTCATTATATTAAAGGAATAAATTAAGTTTATTTGAATAACACTCGATAAAAAAAGCAGGTTTTTTTTTTGTTGTAGAATACTAGAAAATGCAAAAATGGTACTGCATGATTACCGCTCAATTTGACCACAAAGCTTATTCTATCTCGCTCTACGATGAGTACCTATCGTACCCTTGCGCCGAGTGCCGCGTATCGCTTCCTTTCGATCGTTCGGAATTTATGTGGGAACTTTTAGAATCAATATTATATTATTTTCAAAAATTCAGATTTTCTGTGTCGACTTTTTTGAGTACAGGCGTACCATAATCTCAAAAATCTCACGTGTAAGATATTTAGGCCTTATAATAGATGAAACCTTAAATTGGAAAGCACACGTATGTCTTATATTACACGTAGGTAACAATTAACAAATAGAATCATCCCAATGGTAGGAGCTATATTATAGAATTAGAAATTACTTGACATATTATAATAGCAGCAATTACAATTCCTCTCTTTTGTCTTATCTTAGTGCCTACTGATTCCTGTATGGAGCACTTGTGGGCAGCCTAACTTCAGCAAGATGCAGATGTTACAAAATAAAGTATCTAATATTTTATTTGGGTTAGATTGGCTTACTTATACTATTGCCCTTCACTCCGGTTGACCTATATGAGGGCGATTGATTGATCTGAGTGAGATACATAAAAACGAAGCCCGCGGCCGCCAGTCGGAGGCTCAAATTTCAGACCGCATTTTGATATTTTCCACGGTTTTGCCGACCGATTTTCAGCAATACTGTCAAAGCTCCATAACTTTTTTTCCAATGGAAATAATTGATTTCTGTAGGTATCAGTATTGCCAATCTGAATTTGTGAAATTACACGATATGCTGGTAAAATTACACGTTTTTACATGCTTTCAGTCTCACAATTAGGTACACGATTTTTACACACGACACGATCAAAATAGGTGCCAATATTTTGTAACATCAAGAAGCAAGAAGCAAGTATTTTTTTTTGTGATTTATGATTTTGGGAAACGGGTCATAACCAGTCAAATCTGAGGGTTAAGCCGATCGTCCTTTAGAGGCGTTTTTGCCCGAATTGCATTCGTCAGAAATCGGACGAAAAAGTGCGAATGATCCCATTTTAGTAAAACCTAATTTCGGTCGTGTCGTACATTGCACCCGAAATTATTCGGACGAAAATATGCGATTGCGATTGATCCGAAAAAAATGGGATTTTTCGCAGTAGTTCTGACGATTTGTGTATGTTGCTGGGTTGCTGCTGAGAAGATAGAGATATGCGATTTCGAAAAATTGATGAATTTGATTTATGAAAAAAAAAAACCTTTTGGAAAACCGAAAAATCATATTACATTACATGAGAGACATGCAGAGAAAACTGTGGCAAGAAATGGCAGTTGTAATGAGTTGAAATTCTCCGAATTGTTTTCGTTTTGTTAAAATATCATTATCTTGCCAGCACTTTTTCATTTTTAACAATCCCCGTCTAACAAGATAATTATTTTCCATTGACTTCAACAATAACTTGTCCAGTGGACAATATGACGCATGCGAAATTCGACGAAAGTATTCGTCTGATTTCTGACGAATGCAGTTCGGATAAAAACGCATCCAAAGGACGACCGACGATTCCGATGACCGGTCTTAATGTTCCTGATCCTGATCTCTTCAACCAAAAATAAAGATGTGGCAACAACAGAAAAGCAGTCCGAAAGTAATCAAATTACTAACTAAACTACTCTGGTTCCTGGAAAAGTGGTTACTTTTGAACCGCAATTTCCTGCAAGGCTAGATATAAACTTGCTCGAGAACTTTTTCATACAGAATCCAGTGACGTTCTCAGTTTTTTGTTATTTAGCCCCGATTTCAAGATATTGGCCAGAGGCCGACCCTATATAGTGAGTCCAAGATAAGGATGGGATAGCATTAGGATCTGGAGAACGGTTGGAGTAACAATGTTGGTTAGAATAGAAAAAAGTTGCGCAATCTAACGCTCAATAAAATGGTACTTTGACGTTTGAAAAATTCCGAACATTTTCCGAGATATCCGGAAATAAACCGAAACTTTTCAAAATCGATTTCATTTTTTTCCTGAGCGTATTTGAGGAGATATTTCAAAATAAATGTTACTTCATCGTTATCACTTTTCCTACCCTACAAGATGACATTATCAATTTTAAATTTTGATGTTTCGTCTTTGGGCCACCATCATTAACTATCAACTTCATTTTTTTAAATACGGACCCTTATTTTTTTTATTTTAAACTTTATAAGCTTCTGATATCCCAAAACCAATGACGTATTGCACTTATTCGAAAAATTTAAATTATTGGCACTTTCCATAAGAACTCAATGTGCTAGAGCGAGACAGAGAAGAGAATTTTGGTAGGAAATTACTAGAAAGTAAAAAACATATTTTTTCGAATAAATGTGATACGTCATAGGTTTTGGGATATCAGAAGCTTTTAAAAACTGGAATAGAAAATCAAGGGCCGTATTTTAAAAAAATGATGATGATGATGGTCCAAAGACGAAACGTCAGATTTTGAATTTGAAAATGTCATCTTTTAGGGTACAAAAAGTTGTTACAATGAAGTGACATTTATTTTGAAATATCTCCTCAAATAAGCGATTTTGCAAAATTTCTGTTTTTTTCGGATACCTCGGAAAGTGTTCGGAATTTTCCAAATGTCAAAGTACCTACCATTTTATTGAGCGTTGAATTGCGCAAATTTTTACTAATCTAACATGTTAGAGATAAACCTATTAAACCTTGTATCATTAAAATCAGCACAAACAGACTATCCAATGAAATATTAATATACAGTGTCCCCCATAATGTTCGCTACATATGGATGGGGAATTTTTTTATTAGTAGGATATTGAATGTTTTCTTATGTGCGATCGATCCTGCATGTCCGATAACCTAAAAGTACATTTTGACATTGGTCACGTGATCACTGTTGTGGCGGCCAATTCGAAAATTTAGATATGGAAACGCGAAAAGTGGGGTTAGATGGCAAAATTTCGAAAAAAGTTATTTGGAAAAAGTGATAAGAGCGATGTTTTGGGGCTGTCTGCGAAATTTGGAGGAAAAATAACAAAAAAACAGGAAATTACTTGTTTTTAGCCGTGGATCTCTTGTCAAATATTATTATACAATTTTAATTATTGAAATAGTCCAAGTAGGAACCTCAATATTTAATGTGTATTGGTAAAACAAACCTAAATTCTCCATTGAAATGATACTTAGAGGATTAAATAAAAATATTCGACTAGCACATGAAACTTCTCTGTAGCAATACCCTATATCTTAACATTTTCTGTGATTTTCAATAACTAAATGTTGATACAACAATTGGAAAGATTCGTTATTGAGATTTTTTATTGAATATTTCAATACAGTTCTAAAATACCTCACTTAACTGTCCAGA